TGGATGCTTTGGCCCAGGCCCTGCCATTGCAGCCATTTAGGAATGAACCAGGAATGTAACATCTCTCTCTGCCTTTCAAATGCATAAATAACTAAATCAATCTTTAAAATAAAATGCATCCTGAAATGGAATCCTTCAAAGAAAAACAAAATCCGTCTTCTGTAACTAATTAATAATGTAGCATTCAAAGGATACTTACTTTTGAATTCACTTGGGTTTTTCTTTTCCCACAAAGGCAAAGAGAGAGATCTCCCATCTGCTGGTTCACTTCTCAAATATAACAGTCAAAGCTCGGCCAAGCCAAAGCTAGGAGACCTATCTGGAGGGTCCCAGGATGCTCGTTAACTGGAAGTTAGCATGTGAAGTAGAGCAGGAGCATGAACTCAGGCGTTCTGAGATGGGACTATGGGCATCCTAAACAGCAGTTGAACCAGTATATCAAATACTTGCCCTGAATCAATATTCTAACTAACTTTGATGAGGTTTGATTGTAGAGCATCAAGCAGCATGAAGAAATACTGAATTTGGTAGGATGTTACAGAAATATTAGATAGAGATAATGAATAAGTATATTGATGTACTTATGGATTAGGTTCTGACTTTTGGCCAGTTGAGGCATATATGAGAAATGAGGTTCGAAGATAATAAAATATATATTAGATTTGTATTGGAGTTGTCAGCATGAACTCTTTTTTTAAAAAAAGATGATTGATTTATTTCAAAGGCAGAATCATGGGGGTGGGCTGGGGAGAGACAGAGATTTCCACCCACTGGTTCACTCCCCAAATGGCCACAGTGGTTGGAGCTGAGTCAATCCAAAACCAGGAGCCAAGAGCTTCTTCTGGGTCTTTCATTTGGGCTCAGGGGCCCAAGCACATAAGTAAGGAACTGGAGCAGAAGTAGAGCAGCTGGGACTTGATCTGGTGCTCATATGGGATGGTGGTGCCATAAATGGTGACTTTACCCATACGCCACAGCACCAGCCCCAAGAACTCATTTTTTTAAAAAGACAGGTGTATCCTAGCTTTGTCTACCAAAAGGGTCTGTAAGCAATGACACCGCAGGCATTGAATTTACCTATCAACCAAACTTGGTTCTAAATTTCATTGTCCATCAGAAGGGCTCTTTATACCAATGGCTGATTTCATGTCTGGGACAGGTTAAATAGCAAGTGAGCCTGAATACCTTGTGCTAGAAGATAAGGATATATGTACCAACCAGGACATATCATAAAAGACCCAGGAACATGTTATAAAAGATACAAGACCCAAGGTATAAACTGAACATCAAGAGTGTATAATGAGGGACTGGCACCATGGCATAGCAGCTTAAGCTGCTGCCTGCAACTCCAGCATCCCATATGGGTGCCTGTACTAATGCCAACTGCTCCACTTCCAATCCAACTCCCTGCCAATGTGCCCAGGAAAGCAATGGAGGACGGCCCAAGTGCTTGGGCCCCTGCACCCATGTGGAAGAGCCAGATTAAGCTGTTGGGCCCCTGGTTTCAGCCTGATCCAGTGCTGGCCAATATGGCCATTTGGGGAGTAAACCAGCAGTTGGAAAATATCTCTCTCTCTCTGTAACTTTGCTTTTCAAATAAATAAAATGAATCCTTAAAAAAGCATATACAATGATAAATTCTTTTTTTTTTTTTTTTGACAGGCAGAGTGGACAGTGAGAGAGAGAGAGACAGAGAGAAAGGTCTTCCTTTGCCATTGGTTCACCCTCCAATGGCCGCCGCGGCCGGCGCACCACGCTGATCTGATGGCAGGAGCCAGGTACTTCTCCTGGTCTCCCATGGGGTGCAGGGCCCAAGCACTTGGGCCATCCTCCACTGCACTCCCTGGCCACAGCAGAGAGCTGGCCTGGAAGAGGGGCAACCGGGACAGAATCCGGGGCCCTGACCAGGACCAGAACCTGGTGTGCCGGCGCTGCAAGGCGGAGGATTAGCCTAGTGAGCCGCAGCGCCGGCCCAATGATAAATTCTTAAAATATACATATACCTTTTGGAAAATATACTAAGACACATAAATATGTTATAGACATGAGACTGGAAAGGTGGAAAAATAAGCTCATTTTTATTTTACTGAAGAATGCTAACTAATAAATACTGAAATGATGAGTTAATCAGAAAGCTGTCATTTCTAATCTCTGTTGTAATACTTGAATTAACTAGAGATCATGGTGAGTGATACCTAAAACCACTGACTATTTGGAACAAGAGGGGCCAGCGGTGTGGTGTAGTGGGTAAAGCCGCTTCCTGCCGTACCGGCATCCCATATGGGCACCAGTTCCAGTCCTGGCTGCTGCTCTTCTGATCTGGCTCTCTGCTACAGCCTGGGAAAGCAGAGAAGATGGCCCAAGTCCTTGGGCCCCTGCACCTGCATGGGAGACCTGTAGGAAGCTCCTGGCTCCTGGCTTCAGATTGGCACAGCTCCAGCAGTTGCAGCCAATTGGGGAATGAACCAGCAGATGGAAGATCTCGATCTCTCTCTCTCTCTCTCTCTCTCTCTCTTTCTCTCCTTCTCTCTGTGTGTAACTCTTTCAAATAAATATTTTTTTCTTTTTAAAAAGGAACAAGATATTCAAACTGTAATACCCCACAACCACATGCTTAATTTCAAAATAGGAAAAATAACTATACAGTTCTGGAACACTACCATAGCTATTTCAAGCTTGGCATCACTGATAATGAGGCAGACTAACATTATGTGCTCCTTTGGTGTAATAAGTACACAACATCACTTAGGCATTTCTCATGAGGTTTGGGACATCCTACAATTTAGCTGACCTCAGCTCTTTAAAAAAAGAAATCAAGAACAGTGATTTAGCCTAGCTGTTAAGATGCCCACATCCTACGTTGTAGTACCGAGGTTTCATTCCTTGCTCTGGCTCCTGAAATTGGGAGGCATTGGTGATGGCTGAAATAATTGTGTTATAGCCACTCACATGAGAGACCTAGATTGTATTCCTGGATTCTGGCTGCAGATCTGGTCCTAACTCTGGCCCCTGCCCCTGCCCCTGCCCCTGCCCCTGGCCAAGACCTACCTGTTGTGGGCATTTCAGGAGTGAACCAGCAGATGGGAATTCTCTCTGTGTACCTGTGTCTCTTCCTCTCAAATTAAAAAAGATTTTTTTTTAATTCAATGTCATAAAATCAAGACAAAGGTAAAATGGGATTAAAATAATTTTAATTTTATTTGGAAGGCAGAGAGACCAACACAGAGGGATATTCTGTCTGCTGGTTCACTCCCCTGAATGGTTGCAACATCTGGAGCTGAGGCAGGTTGAAGTCAGGAGGAACCCAATCCAGATGTCCAATATGGCTGGGTGAGAGGGACTTAAGCATTTGAGGCATTATCTGCTTGACTCTCAGGGTATACATTAGCAGGAAACTGGATTGGAAGCAGAGTAGCAGAACTCAAACCAGGCACCATAATATCAGATGCAGAGATCTAAGCAGGGACTGAACTGTTGGACCAGACGCCTACCCCAAGCACAGTTCTTAAGTTAATGAGAGCAACCAAATGAAATTCTTGAATTTTGATTGTATTCTAATTAGAGCTTAAAACTCCCAGACATTTTGGCAACGGTTGGAATGTTTTCTCTGTAATTACATGGTTATTTAATTAATGTTAAATTTCACCAAGCCTAATGATACATTGTTAAATAAGAGAATGTGTGATTATTTGGGGAAATCTCCTTATTCCTGGGAAATATAGCTTAAGTTTTTAGAGATACAGTGTCATGATGTCTACAGGTTCTGTTCAGATGGGTTAGCAAAAACAAAAATGATGAATGTTTCAGTGTGTAGAGAAAAAATGTAACAGAATGTTAGAGTTGAATCTATGAGTTGTTCTGAATTACTCTCAGTGTTAAGGCTTAATTTTCTAAGCATGTTATTGTGAAATAATATTTACTATTTATTTGCATTACTTGATATTCCACAGAATGTTAGAATTTAAAGAGGCTTTCGAGGTAATTTTGTCTGTCTGTCTTTTTTTTTTTTTCATGTGGATGCGGAAGTTGGTTTGACAGTGATTGGGTCATTTAAAAAAAAAAAATCTTTGTTCAGTTTATTTGAGAGTCAGAGAAACAGAGTTGCCATCTGCTGGTTCTCTATCCAAGTGTGTGTAATAGGTAGGGCTGGGCCAGAGGCAGGGGCAATAGCCAGGAATGCAATCCAGGTCTCCCATGGAGGTGGCAGAAACCCAATTACTTTAGCCATCATCGCTACATTCCAAGGTCTGCACTGGCAGGAAGCTAGAGTCAAGAACTGGAGCGAGGAATTGAACATAGGTACTCCAGTGTGGGACACTGATATCTTCACTAGTTGGCTAACACTGACCCGAGTTACTTAATTAAATCACATTGTTGGTGTGAGTGTTTGGCTCAGTGGTATACATGCTAGTTGGAACACCCACCCCCTGTACTGGAGTGCCTGGGTTCAAATCTCAGTTTTGCTTCCAATTTCAGCTTCCTGCTAATGTTCATTCTGAGTTGCAGCAGGTGATGGTTCAAGTAGTTGGGTCTCTGCTTTCCACATGGGCGATCTGGTTTGAGTTTCCAGCCCCCTTCTTTAGGTTAGCCTGGCCCTAGCTCTTAAAGGAATTTGTCAGGTGAACCAGTGGATAGATGATATTTCTCTGCTTTTCAAATAAATGTAAGTTAATAAATCATTTATAAGCTAGAATAGAGCTTGGACAGTGAATCCAGCTCTCATATTTTCTAGGATATTGCTCTTTCCATTGCTGCATGGTATCTCAGTAAGATAATTCTATTTGAGGTCAATATGAATTAAGGAAAATACATAATTTTTCTTCTTAGCATAGTATCAATGTATTTTCCCCCTTGTGACATTATTTCAGACTATATTTGATCTACTCATCTGTAGGTATTCAGTTAAAGACTTCTAGTTTTGATAGTTGCTCTCCTAGAAATTTCTTATTCTTGTGGTTTTGACTACGTATTTTTGATCACTGACTTTTAATGTCCTCCAGTTTAAGCTATGAAGAAGGACATCCCTCACACTCTGAAACAGATCTCCTTCAAAGACAGACATTTGCAGCCTCTCATCAGCTTCCTGGATATGTTCCCACACCTCAACCAACCGGTAACATTTCTCTTCAGTCAAATTTTCATGTTAGTTATAAATGCTATGTGTAGGATGTAATCGTGCCATGGGAAATGTTAAAAAAGAGGTTTTTACTGATAGAAAACATAATCAATAAATTGAGAAATCTTTGTTTCATGCATCTTTAGCAATTTTAAATTATAAATATGGTTGGCCAAATTAGTATTTGTGTGCTATTTCAAAATAAAACAGTATAGGGTTATAGAATTTTTTGGCCTATGTTTTCAGACATTAAAAAAGTAGTATCAGGTATATAATTTTATATAAGTATATATTTTTACTTTAGGATATTTTATCATCCATTAGGTCTTTCTGGAATATTTGATACTAGTGTGAACAGTGCCAGCACTAACACTAAAGAGTCTTCAGTGATGAATTTTCTCTCTACTGTTGAATCCCGAACTGCTCAGGCTGCTTCTTCAGGAACTATTTTACCACAGTTCAGGGCTCCATCCTGGCAGACAGGTGAGTTTCTGTTTTCAGAATTTTTAATTGTTATAAAAATGTTGTTCAAAAAACATACTTTTTATGGCCTTGTCATTATAGTAGTGTGCCTGAGAATGATGTTAATTATTGATTTTCCACTAAACTTTTTTTTTAAGATTTATTCTATTTATTTGAAACACAAATTAGAGAGGTAGAGACACAGAGAGAGAGAGGTCTTGCATTCCACTGGCCATTCTCCAGATGGCCGAAACGGCCAGAGCTGTGCTGAATTGAAGCCAGGAGCCAAGAGCTTCTTTTGGGTCTCCCACGTGGGTGCAGGGGCCCAAGGACTTGGGCCATCTTCCACTGCTCTCCCAGGCCACAGCAGAGAGCTGGATTGGAAGAGGAGCAGCCAGGACTAGAACCAGCGCCGATATGGGATGCTGGCGCTTCAGGCCAGGGCTTTAACCTGCTGTGCTACAGCGCTGGCCCTTCCACTAAACTAAAACCTGGAGTTTTCCACAATTTTAAGGTAGACAAAATTCAAGAATTTGTTGCTGGCAGAAATTCAGTGTTAGTTCCCTGATATAAAGAAGTTCATATTGAAGGGTAGATAATTATTAAAGGTAAACCCTCTTTTAAAGTTTATATTGGCAGTTTATATATTTGTCTACTTGAGATGAGCAAAGATAAAATTTCATTTATTCTAGTGATTTCAGACTGAGTAGGTGGTAGTGAAAATTAATCTTGGGACTCATTTCATCATTAGAGTAATGTAAAATTATCCTTAATTGAACAGATTAAATAATTATTTAATAAAAGCTATTACATGTTGTTATATTCTGCCCATTTTTCAGCAATAATTATAATTGAAAGAGTGACAAAGAGAGAGAAAGAAAGAGAGAGAGATTGATTTTTCCATCCTCTGGTTCACTCCCCAAATGCTTGCACAGGCAGGGTTAGAACTACGAACCAGGAACTCCATCCAGATCTCCCATGTAGGTGGTGGCTGCCTACTGCCTCCCAAGTCATTATCAGGAAGCTAGATAGGAAGCAGCGTATAGTAGCTGATTCAGATGTGAATATCCCAAGCAACAGCTTAATCTGCTGTCCACAATGCCTGCCCCATATGTGATTTTTTTCCATCCTTTCATTTTTCTGATTTCACTTTTCAACAGTTTCTCTTCAAAAATTATTTGTGTTTTTTTTTTTTTTTTCAGAATGACGGGATTTTTTTTTATTAAAGATTTATTTATTTGAGGGGCAGAGTGACAGAGAGAGCAAGATCTTCCATCCACTGATTCACTACCCATATGGCTGCAACAGCCAAGGCTGAGCTATGCTAAAGTCAGGACCCAGAAATTCCATCCCAGTCTCCCACATGGGTAGCAGGTGTCCAAATACTTTGACCATCATCTGCTACCTTCCCAAATACATTACCAGGAACCTGGAAAGGAAGTGGAATAGCTGAGACACGAACCAGCACTCAGATATAGGATGCTGGCATCCAAAGTAGCAACTTTCCCTACTGCCACAACACTGGCCCCAGGAATTTTTTTTAAGAGTTGTGAAGAAATGTCATAGTATTTTTTTTTTTTTTAATTTTTTTTTTTTTTGACAGGCAGAGTGGACAGTGAGAGAGAGAGACAGAGAGAAAGGTCTTCCTTTGCCGTTGGTTCACCCTCCAATGGCCGCCACGGCCGGCGCGCTGCGGCCGGCGCACCGCGCTGATCCGATGGCAGGAGCCAGGAGCCAGGTGCTTTTCCTGGTCTCCCATGGGGTGCAGGGCCCAAGCACCTGGGCCATCCTCCACTGCACTCCCTGGCCACAGCAGAGGGCTGGCCTGGAAGAGGGGCAACCGGGACAGAATCCGGCGCCCCGACCGGGACTAGAACCCGGTGTGCCGGCGCCGCTAGGCGGAGGATTAGCCTAGTGAGCCGCGGCGCCGGCCTAAATGTCATAGTATTTTTGAGAAGACCATTATAAGTAATAGTTAAAAGAAATAGTATTTTATCACTCTGATGCAAATTCCATTAATGGAACTTCTCCATATGCCTAGTAATAATTTTTCTTTCTTTCAAAGAGATAATTAATGATTTCATGTAAATTAAAAAATACATAGCTTTTTTTGCTTCCTGAAGTAATCTTGTATTTCACGGTATTATTATTATATGTATTACCACATTACTATAGTTCATGGTGTTATTACTATATTAGTGTCAAAACAGTACGAAGGATTGAAGAATGTATAAAAAAAGAAAAATTTGTTAATGTGTTTGGTATATGTTTGAAGAAGGCAGGAAAGTTTTTAACTCATGTCTGAGTGAGGCAACATTTTCTGTAGATTGCTTTTAATCTTATACTTCTCTAATATTTAATGAACAGAAGTTAGAGAACATATTTTAAAGGGCCAGGGAATCCTTTCTCCCTGTTTTTCAAAAATGAAAAAAAAATTAGTGAAAAGTCACTATAAAATATTTAATGATATGTAAAGTAAAAAGTGAAATTTCCTAACTATAGTCCCACTTTTTAAGAGAGGAGTTAACAATCTGGCATTTAATTTTCTTGGATTTTTTTTTTAAATGTTAACCATATATCCATCTAGTTTGTTTATGGCAACCGTATTACTAGAATATATCATACTTAGTTGATTACTTTTGATAGACATTTTGGTTGTTTCTACTTATAAACAATATAATATAATGACCATCTACACAAGTATCTATATTTATTTATTTTCATAGAATAAATTTTTGAGATGGAGCTTTTGGATCACAAGGGTGTGCACATTTTCACTTTCATGATATATGGCTAGAACACTGCCCTGACACATTAACAATCTCTTCTTGACAGTACCTTGTTAACTTCTGATCAATTTTTCATGATAAACATGCTCTATTATTATTGGGAAGTTGTTCATAGGAAGCCAGAACTTGAAATGCTTGAGATTTTTATATTTCGATATATATACAAATATATTTTGATAAACTTCAAGTCTTCATTGTTAATTTTAGATTTATCTTGTTAGGTATAAGCAATTTAGTGTTGTTTCAGTGTTATTTTATATAACAATTATATATATGAAATTGCTGATATTTTTGCCAGTTTGTTTTTGCCTTAAGGCTAGCAGTTTTGGAGCATTAATTTGGAAAAGTTACATGCCGAACTAATTTGCCTAGCCTTTCAGTCATATAGACATTTTGATGCAAGTAGCACCAATGTAAGTCATTACTATGAAAACATATATTTAAGTACTTGTGCTGTAATTGCATAAAGGTCTTTGTGCCTTCTCTTCACAGGCATGCACTCCTCAGCTGCAACTGAGCTGTTTGTTACTGGACCCTTGCCAACCACTGGAACACTTCCACCATCTGCCCTTTCTGCTTATCAGCATCCTGCCACCTTCAGCAATAGAAACTTTGCTACCACCTCACCTTTGGTGCTTCAGGATTCAACTTTTAACACTACATCAAATGGAATTTTAAGTCCTCATGACCCTTTGCTACAAATCAAGACTTCCCAGGGGACTGTTCCAACTGCATTGGCATTTGAGCGCCTGGGTAGTTCTGCATTAAGTAATAGCATACCACCTCAGTCTTCAACATACCGCTCAGCTCAAGAGTCTGCACCCCATCTTTTACAACCTCAGTTTAGTTTGTTGCCTTCAGCACTTGGAGGAGCCCAGCAAACTCCTCAAGCCTACAGTTCAGCTCTCTTTACTAGTTCTACTGCTTCCATTGAAAGAGCTCTTCTTCGAGAATGTAGTGTTATTAAACACCATCAGCGGCCTTCAGGAACCCAGTCTCTTCAGGCACAACTGACTGGTTCTCAACATTCCTTACATAATTATCTATCAAATGCAAGTGTAGTTAATTTTCAGGAAACAACCAGGCAGTCATCTTTATCCTGCAGCCCGGGTGGAAATTCTCCTCAGGGGAGCAATGGAGGACCGCAGCAGAAGGCCTCCCAGGTCTCAACAGAACTGGCTCAGTCTTACTCATCTGCAGTTCCATCATCAGGGTATCCTTCTACTACAAAAGTTAACAGCTGTCCCACAAAACAACCACTGACGTCAGCCAAGACCCCGAAACCTCAAAATGTAATTCCTCCTTTACAGACACTAAGCTATTCCAAACCTTTACATAACCAGAGTTCTGTCATATCGGGCCAAGCACAAATTTATTCCACAGCGCAGCTACCGAGCCTCTTATCAGTTAGTCAGTCCCAAAATTATGGCTTAGTACAGCCACATAACGTGCCATCTATTGTTCATTCACAGGTTTATAGGTCCAGCAAGGTTGAGAAATTGCCATCCTTATATAAAACATTGACTTTTTCTGGGTCATCTCAGACTGTAACTGCTGAAAATCAGACACTCAGTTATTCATCTAATCAGCAAGAGGTATTATCTTCAGTTACAAATGAGAATTACCCTGCTCAAACAAGAGATCTGTCTTTAGTCAGCCAGTCTCCAAGTTATTCATCTGGTCCTTCTCAGGGTTTATCTCCAGTAAGCCAGGCACAGGTTAGTTATTCATCTCAATCACAGGTTTTGTCAGTTGTTAGCCCTTCAGAAAGCTATGCTTCAGGGCAGTCTCTGACATTAACAGCCCCTTCTCTTTCTTACTCTTCTGCTTCTCAGCCTCAGAATTTGCCAGATACCAACCCAGCCCAGAATTACATTTCTATGCATTCTTCCCAGAATGCTCAGACTCAAGAATCATCATCTCCCCAGTCCCAAAAATTTTTGCCTGCTGTCCAGTCACCATCCTTTGCATCCTCTACTCATTGTCAGGCATTACAGAATAATAATATACCTTCCCCTGACCCAAAGGCTTATGCTGAAAGAAAACTTGACTCAAATGTGTACACATCCTCAAAGCAAGAAGATGATTTTCCAATGCAAGAGTTACAGGTGTTGCAGTCACAGGCACCTCTTGAGTCATCAACCCAAAGAGTATCTGAGGGGAAAGTTAATGCTCAAGAAACAACTTACAAGGTGTCAAAGGCAGATGACAGATATTCTCAGAGTGTAATCAGAAGTAATTCCTGTCTTGAAGATCAAGTTGTTGGAATTGCTCTGCAAGGGTCAGAAAAAGAAGAAAGCATAGTTGGTTCAGTGACTCAACTTAACCAGCAAGTTAGCCAAATCAATAATGCTGCAACCCTTGATCTTAAGAAGACAACTAATTTAATACAAACTCCACCAATAAGGTTAAATACTAAGGATGTAAACCAGCAGCACTCGCTTATACGGAAGGTACATGAAGCCAAGGTCCAGGAGCAGCATGATCAAATAGTTAACGCCTCATCTCAGATTCAAATTCCAAATCATGCTTTAGGGCACGGCCATCAGGCACCGCTTCCTAACACACAGGTCCTTTTAGATTCTGCCTGTGATTTACAGATTCTTCAGCAGTCAATCCTTCAAGCAGGTTTAGGACAAGTAAAGGCGTCTTTACAAGTCCAGCGTGTTCAGAGCCCCCAACAAATAGTGCATCCTTTTCTTCAGATGGATGGTCATATTATTCCAAGCAATGGCGATCATTCTCAGCAGCAACTCCATCCTCAAAATTCTGAAATTATGAAAATAGACATGTCTGAATCTTCAAAACCATTACAACAACATCTAACAACAAAGGGCCATTTTAGTGAAACAAATCAACATGAGTCAAAGAATCAGTTTGTTTCTCTTGGATCAATATGTTTCCCTGAGGCAATGCTTCTCAGTGATGAAAGAAATATTTTATCAAATGTAGATGATATCCTAGCAGCTACCGCAGCAGCTTGTGGGGTTACACCTTCCGATTTTTCTAAATCAGCTTCAAATGAAACTATGCAGGCTGTTGAAGGTGGTGATTCTAAATCTCATTTTCAGCAGTCATTAGATGTCAGGCATGTGACTTCAGACTTTAGCTCCATCACAACTACAGTAGGAAAGCCACAGAATATAAATGATATTTCCTTAAATGGAAATCAGGTTACTGTAAACCTTTCACCAATACCTACCCTTCAGTCAAAAGTAACTCTTGAACAACAGCGCATTGAAACACCTGGTCAAAATATGCCAACCAAACCAAATTCAGCAGTAGCTGGAGCAAGTCACGAAGTCCAGGAGCAGAATTCTGGCCCATTCAAGAAACAGTCTGCTACCAATCATGAATCTGAAGAAGACAGTGAAGTTCCTGTTGATAGCACGTTAAACAGTAACAGAAACCAAGAGTTTGCTTCTAGCAGTAGAAGTTTAAGTGGAGAGAGTGCTGCATCGGAGAGTGAGTTCACCTTAGGCGGTGATGACAGTGGTGTGTCAGTGAACCCACCTCGGAGTGCACTTGCACTGTTGTCCATGGCCCAGCCTGGGGATGTAATCAGTGTCAAGACTGAAGAAGAAAACCAAGACTTAACACATTTTAACCTTCAAAAGAAAAAGGCTAAAGGAAAAGGACAAAATAAAGAGGAAGAGAGCAGTAATCAGAAACAGCTGAAAAGACCTTCCCATAGCAAACGCCAGAATCCGAGAGGAACAGATCTATATTTACCATACACATCTCCCTCCTCAGAAAGCTGCCATGATGGTTATCAGCATCAGGAGAAAATGAGACAGAAGATCAAAGAGGTAGAGGAAAAACAGCCAGAAGTCAAAACAGGATTTATTGCTTCTTTCTTAGATTTTCTGAAATCTGGACCTAAACAGCAGTTTTCCACTCTGGCTGTCCGAATGCCTAACAGGACCAAACGACCAGGGACCCAGATTGGTCGTACATTTTGCCCACCACCACTTCCAAAGAGCTCATCGTCTACAATACCCTTGCCTATAGTGTCTGAAACTGGAGCTAACAGTCCATCAGAAAAAGCTGACAACGAACTTAAAAACATGGAACATTTATCTTCATTTTCATCTGATGAAGAGGATCCTGGAGTATGCAATAATGATATGTATAAAAGTATCTCTACTCCCTTAACTGCTTTGGATGCTACTTCTGATAAAAAGAAGAAAACAGGTAAAGTGTTAAAATTTAGATTCACAACTATGACTTTTCTATTTTTAAGTTTTATAGCCTAAAGCAGATCTGCAAATGAATTTTCAGTATAAAATGTGTATTATGTCTTGTCTATAGGAAAGTTCTGGATTTCAGGCTCAATGATTCTGGCTTTTCTTGACTTTTTGCCATGGATAGCTCAATTTACACAGTATGTTATCCAGGTGCCTCTGGTCTGAGATATTTGGAAGTAGGTAGGGATATTAGGCATTGTATTCTGGGCCCAATTGTAAACCTATCATATTTCTCGGGTTGCCAATTTTACTCACCTATTAACATTTTACTATTAAATATGGTTATATTTTGTGCAACATTTACATTAATACAATCAAGATAAAATTTTTAGATTTTATGCTGGCTCCAACTATCTAAATATTTGGGTATGTGTTGGTTAACAGAGGAAATGTTTTAATAAGCATTGCCTTATATAAATAATTAACATGTAACTATAAAAGTTACTATTTTAAGGAACATGCCAAGGAAAATTTATAGCAATTATATAGCTACCACCTACCAGAGGAACTGGTAGCAATATTGTGAGATATGCATCATTAATTCCAATTATACAGTTAATGAAGCTGAGACGAAATGAATTGTGTTACTCCTTACACCTAGCAAATGGCAGAACTGGAATCTGAACCCAGCCATTTCTGACCTAGGGCTTCTCTGCTATGCTTGTTGCTATAAGTCAGTGAAGTTTTTTGAGTTAAACTTTGTTTTGCAATGTACTTCTCAACTTCTTTCTGGACTTGAGACTACCTTTAAGTACTAAAGTGATACAAAACAACTGGTATCCCGAATAATCTAGCATAAATGTCCGAAAGTACATTTCTAAAGAATTTTCATTCTTTAGGGAAATTGGCCTAAGGGAAAGTTAGTCTTAGATCCAAGACCTATGGATGTCCAAATTCAGAATGCTTGCCAATTATTATTATATTGCCTCTTGTGTGCCCAGAACAAGCCTTTTTAAAAATCTCTCTTCTAAAATTTGAATCTTAATCTAGTTTGTTCTAGATAATTATTAACTCCTTTTAGTTACAATCATCATTACCACAGTTCTTACTGTTAGGTCTTTGAAGATCTGTTTGTCTTTGTGTTTCTTGTTTCCTCATCTGCAAGAAGTTACTGCTTGGTCTGTTACAACAGACTTCTCATTAGAATCTTTGTCTCCAGCCTGTGGAGTCCATCTTCCATATTGTCACCAGTTTTGTCTTTATAGAAAAAGAAAATTGAGTGTTACTTGTGCTTCAAAGCACTTTTGTGCTTCATGGGGGAAAAGATCACAGGAAAAAATTTTCCCTTTTCCTTTTTTACTCTCTCTTTCCTTCTGTGACAACTGAATTTCTCATTGTTTCTTCAACATATGACCTACTTTCACAGTTGTGAGTCTTTGAACAGACTTTTTTCTACCTAAACTGCTCTGTTCTCCATAGTTTATTTAAAGTTTTATTTATTTATTTGTAATGCAGAGTTAGAGAGAGAGAATGAGAGAGACCTTCCTTCTGCTGGTTCACTCCCTAAAATGGTCGCAGTGGGGCTGCATCAGGCACAAATCAGGAGCTTCTTCCTGGTCTCCCACGTAGGTGCAGGGAACATAGTACTTGGGCCATCTTCCACCACTTTCCCAGGCATATTAGCAGAGAACTGGTTTGGAAGTGGAGCATCCAGACTTGAACGAGAACCCCTATAGTATAATGGCATAGCAGGTAGCAGCTTAGCCCAATATGCCACAGCACCAGCCCCTTTATTTTTTAATCCAGCTGATTAAAGACTACTATCAATGTCATTTTGGGTATGTTGCTCCAGGGAGAATTGATGTTCAGTTGCCACAACCTTTAAATGTTATGAAGACATTCACTTTTGTGTATAATTTCACTTACATTTGTATAAATTTCATTAAATAATGAGTTTCTTTAGGTCAGTAGTGAACAGTTATGGTAAAAAAATTTGGGCTTTGAGGCTGGTGCTATGGCACAGTGGGTTTAGCTACTGTTTGCAGTGCTGGCATCCCATGGGGTTGCTGGTTGGAGTCCTGGCTGCTCCACTTCCAATGCAGCCTCCTGCTAATGTGTCTGGGAAAACAGATGAAGATGACCCAAGTGTTTAGGCCTCTGCACTCACATGGGAGACCCAGATGAAACTCCTGGCTGTGGCCATTTTGATTAGCCATTTGATTAGCCAATGGATAGACGCTCTCTCTTTCTTTGCCTCTTCCTCTCTGTAACTCTGCCTTTCAAATAAATAAATAAATAATTTAAAAAATTTTGTGGCTTTGTAGAGGCAGGTGTTGGCACAGTCTTTAAGATGCTACGTGGTGGTGTGGGCATTCTGGTGCAGTAGGTTAAGCTAGCTCTTGTGACATCCACATCCCATATGAGCACTGGTTCAAATCCCGGTTGCTCCAATTCCAATCCAGCTCCCTACTAATGTGCCTGGGAAGGCAGAGGGTCCCACCCATGTGAAAACTCAGATGAAGCTCCTGGTTCCTGGCTTCAGTCTGTCCCAGCCCAAGCCATGGCAGCCATTTAGTGAGTGAACCAGTGGATGGAATATCAATCTCTTTCTCTCTCTCTCTCTCTCTGTCTCTCTCTGTGTCTCATTCTACCTTCCAGATAAATAAATAAATCTTAAAAACGAATCGGTTTGGTTTCATTCACAGTGAGTGGTGAATTTCTTCAAAATGGAGGTGAAACTAAAGGGGAGCACTCAGCTTCCACGTAAGGGTACCATAGGTGTATAAGGCAAACTCTTGATGATACAGATGACCGAAATTCAGATCTCAAAAATGGAAGAAAACCAAAAAATCTTCTTTCTTTTCCATTTGTTTGAGCTCTATGGATAAAATACACTTGGAAAATGTTGAAAGCTTAAAAAATGTGGGCCACAAATATAAGAGTCCTACAGTCTGTTTTCTGTGTTTTTTGAAGAGCTTTTATTTTGAAATTTAAAGCTTAGGTTTTGATTTTATTTTGAGCTTGTAGCTCCTTGGAGTAGATGTAGTGCTACAGCCTGGCCCAGCCTTGGCTGTTGCAGGCATTTGGGGAATGGACCAGAAGATGGAGGATCTCTGTCTTTCTGTCACTCTGCTTTCAAGTAGGTGAAAACAAACAAACATTTTAAAATGTTGTAGCTCTTTGCCTCTGAAATATATTTGGAGTTATGGGATGCTATAAGAATTTAGCATCTTCTTCCAAAATGGATATTTGGTTATTTAATCACTGTTTATTATTCAATCTATTTCTCTACTGTGTGACTGAAATGTTATCTTTGGTAATTAAATTTTCACTTATTGGAATGTATATGGATTCTGTTCTTTTCCATTTGTCTAGTTATCTGTTCTGTATTTGACAGTGTAATTTGTAGTATATTAAATCTTCCATAATTTTTTTAAAGATTTATTTTACTTATTTGAAAGGCAGAGAGAGAGAGAACTTCCATTTGCTGGATCACTATCCAAATGGCCACAATGGCCAGGGCTGGGCCAGACTGAAACCACAAGCCTGGAGCTTCTTCTGGGTCTCCTACATGGGTGCAGGGGCCCAAGGAATCAGGCCATCTTTCGTGGCTTTTCCATGAGCCTTAGCAGGGAGCTGGATGGGAGGTGGAGCATCCAGGACTCGAACTGGCACCCATATGGGATGCCAGCATTGTAGGCAACAGCTTAACCTGCTAAGCCCCTGTAATTGTGTGTGTGTGTGTGTATGTGTGTGTTTTAAGATTTATTTATTAAGATTTATTTATTTATTTGAAAGAGAAAGAGGGAAAGATACAGAGAGAACCTTCCATCTGCTGGTTCACTCCCCAAATAGACACAATGGCCATGGCTGGGCCAGGCTGAAGCCAGGAGCCCAAAGCTTCTTCCAGGCCTCCAATGTGGGTGCAGGGTCCCAAGCACTTGGACCGTCTTCTGCTTTTCCAGGTGCAATAGCAAGGAGCTGGATTGAAAGTGGAGCAGCCAGATCTCAAACTGGTACCCATATGGGATGCCACAATGCTGGCATACCCTCTCTGTAACTCTGCCTTTTAGTGGTTCTTTTTTGTTATTGTTCTTGGATTTCTTTCCAGATAGATTTAGAATCAGCATGTTTGATTCTGTTAACCATCTCTGGAGGGTTATTATAAAATTTAGAATTTAATAGATGGACTATTAATGGTATATGAGTAAGGTGTAGGGAAACTGAAAGCATTGCCTTAAACCTAGTAGCAGCTGGTGGGGGGGTGGGGTGTGTAGAGGTATCTTCCCTCTGCTGGTTCCCTTCCCAGATGTCCCACGGCAGCCAGGGCTGGGCTATAGCCAGGATCTGAGGAGTCAGTCTGCTACATGAGTAGCAAGGACCTAAGTACCGGAGCCGTCCCCTGCTTCCTTCCAGCAATAAGCTGGAATGGAAAACAACCAGCACTTGAACTCAAGCACATTGATAGGGCTTCACAAGCTACAGGACCAGATGCCTGCCCCTAATTTCTACTTTAGTCTTAATTCTTTCCCCTATCTCCTTTGGGCTTAATTTAATATTTTCTTTCTGGCTTCTTGAGTTTAGTACTTAGTTTATTTTTGTGTTTTCTGACTAATATAGCCTTTAATCTCTTAAGTTTCCCTTTTTTGTACCACACTGCTGCCATATCCCACTGGTTTTAGTGCTCTTAATTGTTCTAAATGGCTTTTCATTGATTTTATTTTCTTTTTAGCCTGAGAGTTATAAAGAATGACCAGGTTTTTGGTTTTTGTTTGTTTGCTTGTTTGTTTTTCTGGCCCTGTTGTATTGTGTCCAGGTAATATGTCCACTTTTTGAAATTTAGGGAAATTTTGTTAGTGATTTGGTAAATGGTCACATTTTTGCTTTTTAAGATTTATTTATTTGAAAGGCAGCGCGGGGACTGGTGCTGTTGTGTAGTAGGTTAGGCCTCTACCTGCTGTGCCAGTATCCTATATGAACACAGTTCGAGTCCTGGCAGCTCCACAC